AATCAATTAGTTGACAAAAACAATAATATTATATATATAACAATAATATTAATCAATTTGTAAAATAATTGCTAGTTGCAGCCCTATATGTTCTCTGTTCGGTTCATTGGCTTTTATCTGATGCTGATCTAGTCAAACTTTAATGTGGATCCATGTTACCTTGGGGCTTGATGCATTTCCACTGAAGGCTAGTCAGCTAAATAAAACACACCCAAAGGACCAGCATGGGTCATTGAGAATTTCTTACAGTTTGACAACCTCGAGTATTATCATAAATCAGAAAGAAAAAACATTTAATATTATTTAATTGCTTTAGAAAAGCAAATTTTTCCATTTCAGGTATGATATAAAGCAAAATATGGTTACGCTTTTGATACTTTTCTTTGTTTTTTGTGGGGGTGTTGCTGACTTGATAGTAGTGTAAACAGTAGGATGGGGAGGGGAAAGCCTGTGTTATTGCATGCCTCGAACAAAAGGCGAATGCTGGAGTCGCTCCAACCTGCTCTCTGGCATCTTATTAAAAAGGGCTTCAAACTATTGAAACTGTGTTGTGGAAATTTGTTGTCTAAGCAGAACTGTTACTGGTTTAAACCTTGCTGAACACTGATACAGGTAACCAACATATTCCTGGTTCAAACATCCGTATTAAGATCCAGAACTGAACAGAGACGACTGAATACCGCTTTAAACTGTATATCTAAAACACCTCAGCACCTGTATTTAAAGATGTTTAGTGTTAACTAATGGTTAAGGTTATCAGTTACTAATGTGCTCATGCTTGCCTTTTGGTCTTCAGTCTAAATTTGTCCTTTATTCAGCAGATATATCAACATGCTTTCCAAACCATATCTCATATCTGTTCTTGTGAAACACGTGCAGCTTCCTGGCCTTCACTGCTGCTGTTTTTAAACTCAACGTTTGCTCGTTTTACGTCAGCTTAGTTCCCCCTTTCACAGTTTAACATGTTGGCAGTATTTAAATAAAAAAAAAAACACACATCTATTTCAAAATGCTGCATTGTGATAAAATTATGTTTCATGTTTGCATATCTTTCATATAGCATTTTAAAGCTGCTGTACCTCCAGAACTGTTGACGTAGAATGATGAGTAATTCATTGTCTGTTTTATTTCCTATTCTTTAGGTCTTACAGTAAATAATCTATTTGCATTATTTAATTTCATGACGTAGAAAGCATCATTTCAGTCTAATTTTAGATTTCAGATACTCTCTACATGCTAAAATCACTCAGACTCTGTAATGCTATAACATTATATTAGCCCACATAACCAGCTGTTACCTTTTAAATGTATCTTGTTTATAAATCTATGCCGAGCGTCTACCATGCATCTTTTTGAGGCTATTTCCAGCCAGCATGGAGTGTTAGGACTCGGCTATCGAGTGACCGGATAAGTGAGATTTGGTTTCCCTGCTCAGGTTTTAATTTAGCTGTGGGAAGCTGCCTGCTAAAGATACCCATGTCTGCATGCAGATGCAGTTACTGAAAAAGAAGACGGCCTTCACATTTACAGCAGCAGCTCAGCACTTTTGATCTGTTTGTTTGGTTTGTTGCGACGCTGCCAGTCCTCAGGGTCAGACTATTATCCTACCCTCACTTGCAGTCATTTTTTTTTAAAGAAATTTCTCAAATCCAATGTGGTTTGATCATTTTAATGAAATAAAGGTTCAAGCATGCGACTGTAGGAGTTGGTTACGCTACGATAACCAAGTAAAAACACCAGGGTTGCCCAAAATGTAACAAACTTAAAAAATTAATAATAAAAAATATAAAACATTTGTTAATTGTCTTTAGCTTTTCTAGTTGTAGAACAGCATGACTCAAGAGTGACTTCCACCACTTCTTTAATCTGTGGACAAGAAAATAGGGCTGAAGCAATTAATCAGATTAATCATTTCAATCGTTCCAATCCAAGTCGATCATTGGAATAACCGTCAACTAATCTGGTGATTAAATCGAAACGTTATGTAATGTAATCGTACACCTATAAAGTATGCAATGTGCTCAAACAATTTATTTGTTTCTATTTTTAGACAAAACTCTATAAATATGTTTTATAACATATAATATTTTATAGTCTGAATAGTTTTTTTTACTATCATGCAAATCTATTTATCTGTTTAGATTAGTCATATTCTTTTTTTAAATGTCATTTTTTAACACAAATATATATATATATATATATATATATATATATATATATATATATATATATATACACCAATATACACGTTTGTCTGTGTTTTTGTGTTTTAGACAAAAATAATCAAAGCAAAAAAACTAAGAAGAGAAAACAGACAAAAATCAACACACAAAGAATATAGATTATTCATAAAATAATCAATAGATTAATCAGCTACTAATATAATCAATAGGAACAGTCCTAAAAGACAAACACTAGTGAAGGACCGACATGTGGAGGAAGGGTTGGAAGCTTAGGAAAATCCAGAACTTTCTCTGATATCTTTTTAATAAGGAATCATTTTGGGTCTTTTTCAATGACATTTTGTTTAAAATTGAGATTTAAACTAAAATCTGGTATATCTTGAACCGATTCATCGCTAGGAATGATGTAAAACACACAAACCGAAAATATATCAATGCGATCTGCTACTATGATCTGTTTAATTTAATCTTCGGTAAATACTTTGGCAAGTTCAACATTAGCAAAGCTGTATTCAAATGTTAAATTCAAAGTAATGCAAATTTAAAAGTCTACAACATTACCTCAGTAATGAATATCTAACAGCTCATCTAAACAGCTGCCTGGCTCTGAGAAAAATGAAAAGTAACTGAAAGAAAAAGAGAAAAGAAAAGCTAACTGCTGTTAGCCCATCATTTCCCATAATGTAATCAGTAACAACAGTGAACCGGAAAAGATGAGGTTATTCTGAGGTCTGGAAAATCCAGAAACCTCGGTAAAGATGTGAATTATTGTGAGAAAGTAGAACCGTATTACTCATTTAACTTTGTGTTAACCATGGATGTCCCCCGTTATTTGTCCCGATTCAATACTAAGTAATGTTTCATTAGTCTTTGGTTTTTTTTATCCTGTTTTCCTTTCTAAAGTGTTTTAACTGAATTTGCAGCAGGAGACCCTTAAAATGTTTCTATAACACAATTAATTTGATAGGGTGCAGTTTTATTTAAAATGCTTAATTTGACCAAAATGTGTACAGCTACCAAATTTAATAAACTCCTGTTTGTTTCCTTGTAGTAATTTGTTTTTAACAAAATTGGCAAATTAGTTTACTTTTTTTCCCCGTTACGAGCTGATAATTCTTGCACTAGTTTAAAAAAAAAGTTAAGTAATTTTCCAGATTTCAGGATTTTTTTTTTTAATTCCCTTTTTCAAAACTTGCCTAGGTCCTTTTGCTGAGCTACAAGTTATCCACTAGTTTTAGCTGTTTACAAACAGACATCAGTCTGATTACAGCCTGCAGAGCAGGTCACATGACACACAGAGAAAACGGGTCTTTGCAGCAGTCAAAGCAGTTTAAATGTCATAAACTGTTATGAAAACACCTTTTTTAAATTGTTAAAATAATGTGCACAGCCTACAATACAAATAATTTGTTTTTTCAAATTGATTTTTTAATTTGCTGCAGCATGAGTGCCTTACTAGAATTGTTTTTGAGGCTAACAGACTAACATTTCTTTAACATTTCATTAAAAAATGTTCTTAATTGACAATAAAAAAATCAGGGTATCATTCTTTTCAGGGAAGAGAGGTTTTTACATGTGTACAAATTAGAAACCAGTTTGATTCTTAAGAATGTTCTTAATCTTTACACAAAGGTTTAAAAAAGAGGTTATTTTCTTTAGAGGTGCGTTTGTTTTATTCTTGTGCAAAAGCATAGCTCCCAGTTTCTGTTTTGTCTTTCTAATGTTTGCACGTCAACCAGAGCAAACACGCCATGATTGCAGGAGCTGAACTTTTAGTTTCTGGTCTGAAACTTTGAACCAATAGTTTGGTTGTTTTTGTTCTAAAACCTCTGGCCGATAATTTCCAATCAAAAGGGGAACAAAGCCAGAGTAAGGTGTGCTATCCAGAAAATGAAAGCGCATGAGTAAAAATTCACAAAATAGAAGCTTTATTGCATATTTGCTGAACTAATATAATAATTTTCCTCATATTAGATGGTTACAGATGATAAACAGTCCTTATAGGTCAGGTTCTCCTGGCTCT